GGGAGAGCCGGGCTGCCAGCGAGCGTTGTGCGTGGTGTCCCTGGCTGCCTGCTGCAGGCAGCAGTCACCCACAGAGCACGTAGGGCAGCGCTGCTGGCTGTGGGGACAAAGGCAATTTAGGGCCTTCTAGCGTTGCGGGAGAGTGAGGATGAGGTGTAAGACTGGGCCCTTGCTTACTGTGGGAACTGTTCTCGGAGCACTTTCTCTGGCCGGACCGGAGCATATTCTGGAATTAACCAGATTACCGGGGCAACCAAGTTCTAAATTTGTCAACTGGAAATGCAGGATGAGTTTCACTTCGCTTCCTTTTCTGATTCACGTCAGCAGGCAGCTTGACTCAGCTGTCACGTCAGCTTTGGATTTCGCATGGTTTTATGCAAGATGTTCCTTCTGCAGCAAATGCAATCGGAGCACAAATCTCTGTCAGAAGCTGAGGCTGCCCCTGCCCCACGCAGAGTTTGCGTGTCTGCACGTGCTTCTTCCTTCGCCTCGCAAGAAACAGTGCCGTGTTTAAGTCCTGGGCAGCTGTGAAATGGCTGCGTGTGCTGTTAGACAAAATAAGAACCCTGTTGTTGTTTTTTTCCCCACCAGAACTTTAAAATTAATAATTATAAAACGGGCCTTAGAAATGCTGTGCAAAAACTGATTCTGTACTTATGAACTGCTGCAACGTGGAACATAAAATTTTCATGCAATAGTTTGTAAAGCCTTCATGAGCTATCGACTTGTAAAGCAGAATCAAATGGTGTATGTACAGAGACCTGACTCCTTACCTATTAAAGCCTTTGCCTCGTGTTGTGTGGTTTTGTACTGCTTTTTCCTGACTAAGCACCGCGGTGCTACGGCAGCGGATCCTGGCTGGCCCCGGGCTGGGTGAGACTCCTGGGACGAGAAGGTACTTCACAAAGTGCTTTTGGAGAGACAATGCAAGACATTATTCCCTCTGAACACTGACCCGACGGGGTATTGTTCCCATTCAGCTGCTGATTAATCATTCTCTTCTGTAGCTGGCATTACTTCTGGACTGAAGTGTCTCTTCTCCGCTAGTAGGAGACAACTGGTTGTAACAGATACTGCTTTTGGGTCCTGAAATGAGCCTTCTGAGCTTCTGGGAGCTCTGTATAATGCTGCAAAATTGGCTTTACTTGCCACAAGCTTTTGCTATCATTTGCATATTTGAAAGTCCTAGCCTTAACAATTCCGATGCTGCTCAGTGAGCGTCAGTGGTTCTTGTGTTTGATGGGAGTTGAGGTTCTGACTCTTGAGCAGAAAGGACATGGAATTGTTCTGATTTAAAGACATTTTTATTAAGCTAGAATTACTTATTCTATCAGTTCAAACCTGATGAACTTCCAGACTTAAATAGCTTATTGAGTGTGGCTTGTCAAATAAGATTACATGCTGGGCTTTAGTTAACAAGATTTTTGGAAATATGAAGCACAAATATTGAAAAAGCTTCAACACGTAGCAGTCCGCTGCATTGCCCGGGGGTCATTAATTCTGAAGGTGTTTCTGCTGCAAATCTGCACTCGTGATTTATTGATTAGGCTCCCTGGGAGCACCGTCAAAACTGCTGGGACGGCTGTCGTGTGCCCGGTCTCATCACTGCTGGGTGCAGTAGGGTAACTGTGCTGGCCTGTATCCTCCGGTGCCCACCTGAAGGCACAATAACCCACTGGTGTCACCGAGCACTGTCACAACATGCACTGAAATGCATCGCATGAAAATCAGAGAGAGACGTGGTGTTGGCACTCGCCCCAGATTGCTCTTTGTAGGTGTGCGGGAGCGTGTCCGGCTGGGTTTGTGCTTCACCGGGGTCTCTCGCTCAGACCCGCTAAGGGTTAAACTGCTGGGGAAGGAGAGCTACTAGAGGAGTCGTAAGACAAGTACAGAGCCAGTTACCTTTTGTTTTAAAGCTGGGCCTTACTTTAAATTAACTCCAAATTACAGTCTGAATTACGGCATTGTGTTTTCTGAGAAATCCTGCAACAGAGAAACCAGCTCCTGGCTTGTAAGCCTGACGCCCGTGGTTTTTTTTCGTTGAGGTGGACAGCCCCTTCGTGACCAGCCCCATCGCCTGGAGAACTCAGACCTGAACACGGGCTGGAAGTTTTAGTCTGCAAATGAGTATGTTTGAGAAATACACATTGAGAGAAATTCAATTTATTTTGTACAAGGTAGAATACCTTTGCACAGTGAACAAATATATTACAAATCTGTCTTGCCGTAAAAAAGTATTGCCATTTTGGGTCCTATTTCCTAAGCTAATGGTAATATACAAGAAGGTACTTCTTTTGTTGGTTTTGTTTGTTTGTCTGTTTCCTGTTAAGCTCTGTGCACATTGTTGCATTTGGTTTGAAACTCCAGCTTTGAAAAAGACCCAAACTGAGCACATCTCTGCTCTCTGGAGTCTCATCGCAAACTTCACAGCAACACACACACAAACATTGGTCAGGCTGGCAGCTGAGACTGCTTGTGCTAGGTGTCAAGGTAGGTCTTTAACAAGAGTATTCCTTATCGAACTGCCTTTCTCTTGATATTTTTGAGGTAAGTCTTTCTATTCATGTACATAAAATATATTCCTACTGGCCCTACAAAATAATCGTCTACTTACATCTCAAATAAGGCTTTCCTGGAAAATAAAATTACTATTGCTGATGAGTCATTGCCCCCATGCACACATGCAGCATTCACGTAACTACTTATGCATTATCCTGCAACATGAAAATCTGCTGCTCTGGAAGCCTGGGGGATCTCTGGGCTCGGCTCGGCTGTCTCACTGCAAAACTCTTGCTTTGCACAGAGGAGTTCAGAGCCAACCCGACCGCCCGGCGGGGTCCCGGCTCCTCCAGCAGCACATCGCCAGGGCTCCCCATGCCCTGACGCGAGCGTGTTGCGGCAGTGAGCCCAGGGGTGCCGTGCAGGCTGCCAGCGGCTCGGTACCACCGTGCCAGGGGCTCCGATCACCGAGGCGAGGGCTGAGCCTGACTGCAGGGACACGGGCTGGGTGCTCCGAGTGATCTGACGCCTGGTCTGACTCAGAGCTGGGATCAAGCCGCTGCCTCTGAGCTGGAAGGCTCCTCTTAGCGGTCCCCTAGACTAGCAGGTTACGCGGGCGATCATGCTTTGAGCAACTGATTGGTGCTGGTTTCGTTCTCTTCTACTTCCATCAGACTGGCGAATGTGCAACAGAATTTTTTTTTATATTTAAGAGGCAATCAACTTGCTACTTCCACATTTGCCTAATAAAATTACATACTTAGAATCAATACTATTTCATGCTCAAAATCTACAAGGAACTGCTTAACGGCAAGTATTCTACTTTCTAGGTCAATAAAGATTACCAGAAAAAGAAAAATCATGGTGGCTTAGTCCAAAACTTTACCATGGGCCAACCCCTTGATAATTACTTCACAAAGAGCTGCTGAAAAAGAAAACCAAGTTTCAGCTCAATTTAATGACATTTCAGGTAGAATCATCAATGGATAAAGTTGCACTACATGGTAATGCACATCAAATTAAAGGGTGTCATAAATGGCATGCTGTTAAGTGAATCATGATGAGATGGTTTGTGAAGACGGTCTAGAGAAGCCGACGTGTCTTAGCTTTAGGAAAGGAAACCAAACCAGGGTTAGCCTGTGCAAACCTGCAGCGTCCCAGGGCAGTAAATGGAGGTCCATCAATTTACATTGCCTGACAAATCTGGTGGATTTATCTAACAGAACAGAAGCCATATAAGGAAAATTAAAGCCTATCTGTGCCAATCAAAGTATTTTATAGCTTGTTAAAAGTGTGGTAAGCTGGGTGTGAGATTTACTGTTGCAACTCAAGTCATTAGCAAAGATCAATGGACATTTGCCAAGATGTTACATTTTAAAAACTGCACAGAATGTGTCTGTGTTGATATTCCTCTACTGAAATACCCTGGGACTGAATATAAAGATGAACATCTCAGTGCTAATTATCAAGCATGATCTGCACAGGTTGCACATGGTGATGGCAGTAAATGAGGTTTCCAGACAGTGAAATGATAAGTTTCCCTGCTTTCGTTCAGAAAAATGTCCATTTCCATGACAAAGATGTAAAATACATTCCAGCATATTCCTAGTCACCTTGTTCCTAACAATAAAAGGTTTCTTGATGCAGTTGGTAGAAATGTACATCTATAAGTCCTTCTACTTAGCATGTTTTTGTGGTTTATTTTACAGCAAAGCCAGGGTTAGAATACACGCCACGGAGAGTTTTTGCCTCGAGCATGTAGACACCTTCCTGGGGTGACGTACTCCAGTCATGCGTGGAGGAAGTTCTCCGTAGTTCCTGTTACCCATATAAAAATGTCTTTATAAATAACA